TTCACACCCCGATCACCCCTATCTGGTTCCAGCCCTTGATTGCTGCCCTGCCTGGCCCTAGTGTCCCTGCACTCACTGGCTGTAGCAGCAGCCATCAGAGCCTCTGGGGCCTCATGGCAGACCCCCCCATGCAGTGCAGGGCAGCGGAGGGGCAGCAGGGATTAGTCCCAGGTGCCTGGCACCCACACTGCTGCTGCCACATCAAGTGGGTACAGCCTGGCTCTGCAGAGTGCTGTGCAGTGCCAAGGGCTGTCTGACAGCTCAGGATTGCTTGGGCTGCACAGCACCAGGCTCTGGGTGACAGCAGCAGTGGCTCTGAGTTGCCTGACAGTGCACAGTGCTGTGTGGTGCATGCACCAGTGTGATGCAGCAGCAGCAGAGTGGGTGCCAGATGGCCGGGGCCAATCCTTGCTGCTACCCCCCCACCCCCGCTGCCTGGTGGGGGGTGTTGCCTTGAGGCCACAGTCGCCCTCATGTCTGCTGCTACAGCCAGTGAGTGTGATTGGGGGCTGGGACCAGGCAGGGGAACAATTGGGGGTGGGGGCTGGGGGAGTGAGCAGGGGTTGGTGCCAGGCTAGGGGGTGAGCAGGGGAGTGAGTGGGGGCTGGGGCCAGGCAGGTCCCCACCATGTACCCTCCTCCCTCCTCCAGCCCCGCCCTAACCCTATTTACCTGGCATGGAGCCTGCGTCCAGGTCCCTGCAGTCTGTACACTGCTTATCCTGCACAGGTAGGCAGTGTACTTCAGCACCAGCACAAGGGCCAGCCATAGAGACTCTCTGGCTGGCTACCAGAGGAACTCTGTAGAGGACCTGAGCCTCCAGTTGCCGCTTTTTTTCACCCAACTTTTATTTGGTACCTGAAACTTTATTTCTAGATATGATGCATGGATAAAAAGAATGCAACTTGATTCTCAGACTTAAACCAGTTTTTCTACAGATGGAATTTGATAAAGGGATCTCTTTACTTGCAAATTGAGAACATTTTTATTGGGGCTTTGCTGTGAATCTCAGCACCAATGATATTTTCCCAATACTTCTGTTCCCATTCTATTGTGCTTCCTTAATTCCAATAGTCTCTTCTCATTCCTGAGTCTCTTCTCATTCCTGTTAGTCATGCCTTCACTCTGCAGGCAAAGGCAGGACAATAGGAAAGTCTTGGAAATATAGGATGAGCATTACAAAGACTTCACATAGATGTAAGCAGTAATTTAATGTTGTTTAATCATAGGGAGCACCTAAAAACTCACACAGATCCAGGAAACGTTCCTCTACTTCTCTATCCTCTGTCTTATTAGTCCTGTCTATAGCATTTTACAAACTGTGTTGATTGTAACTTTCCCTAGCTAGGGTACTAAGTTCTATTTTTGCTGAGATAATTTAACAAAAAACTTTTAATCAAAACTAAAATATGCATTAATGCTTCTTTGTTACAGATTGAAACTGACCACTAGTCATTCAGCCAGAATGTATTAATGTTCAAACAAAGAAGTATATGTAGTAGGAATCTATGATAAATAACACAGCTAAAGAAATTCCATGGGACTGATCTTGATTCACTTGAAGTCATGCAGAGGGTTTTTTTAATTGACTCAACAGGAGCATGATTCAGCCAATGTGGGAACACCTCAAAACAGATTTTAAGGTATTCTAATTGTGCAATATTAGTTACTGCTAATAACTTTTTGATTTTATGTGGCATACCGGATTTTAAAAAGCTTCTGAATATTTCTTGGCTGCACATGTATTTATTTATTTAAATTTGGCTCAGGCATCGTATTTCAGCCACTTCTGATAATGTATATTTTGTTTCCCTACTAATGGGCTCTGGTGTATTTCCAGTATGTGATAGTCATATGATATGCCTTAATGGCTGGAGATAATAGTCACACAATACCGAGAGAGGCAGCAAGAGCTCAGCATTAAACATCTGAATTACATGCATTAGAATGAGAAATCAAGAGAGTGCTTTTCCCCTCTAAAGTTGCATGATAGCTACTTTCTATTCTTCATTGCTCCACTGTTAGGAATATTTGAGGAGAATCTTGGTAAATGCAGACTTGGTTAAAAGATAGGAGGAAATGGAATAATTTGCTAATTTCATGTCACTATATCACTGAGATTCATTACTTTTAATTTTAAACAATTATAAAGTTTGGTGCAACCACTTTACAACAGTATTTTTACACGTAAGGCCTGATCCAATTACCACTGAATCTGCTGGACAATGTCCTATAGGTTTCAGTGGCCAGTGGGTCAAATCAGTAAACATTTGGCTTATGACAGTTCCCGTGACAAATGTGTGGTCATATTTTTTAACATTCATGTATTTCATATACAACACTCATTATATAAGAAATACTGTCTTCTGAGTATACACATGATTTAGAATGATCCAAATCCCCCCTTTCATCCAGTTCACCAATTTATCAGAAAGCAGTAAGGCTACTATCCATCAATTACTTAATTTCTTGCTAGGTAATGTGCCTTATTTTTAGTACCTGAAGACAAGAGATATGCTTGAATCATTTGAGGTTTGGGGAGATATTTTCAGTTTGTTCCAGAACTTAAGAAGTTGTATTTTTTTGTGTAGCCTCATATCCTGAAGAGAGAAACATGGAAAAACTGTGATCTCATTTTTACCAGCAAAATCCAGAGAAACTTTTCTGGTTTCACAGGTATCATGCCTAATCACATTCAGACCAAAGGATCAGTCTTCCAGGTTGCCAATGGTGAAAAAAGTCTTTATTTGTGAGATATAGATTTCATAGATTTTATAGACATTAGGGCTAGAAAGGACCTCAGAAGATCTTCTAGTCCAGCCCCCTGCCCCAGGGGCAGGAAGTCAGCAGGGGTCATAGGATGAGATATGAAAGAAACATATTTAGTAAAACTGGATTGAAAATAGAAAGTGGGAAAGAAACTGCAGCCAGTAGAAACTAGAAGTGTACATGCGTTTACTGAATTTCTCTCAAAGGAAACATGACCCCTCTGGAAGAAAGATGTTCCAGGCTGACATCCAGAAGATTGTCTCAGCAGGGAGTTTGTTTAACAAGAACAAATGCCTGTATGCTACTCCTGATCTGGTCTGAGAGGGGAGTGGAGCAGCCACCTTGTCTGCTGTATTTGGGGAACAGGCAGGAGACTTTGCCCCACTGCTTCCACTCCCCTCCTGGACTGGACCAAGAGTGGAGTGAAGCAGCTGTCAGTCCCCAGCCTGGGGAAGAGGTGAGGCAGGGCCTGGGATGAGTGGAGCAGCTGCTGTTCCCCATGCCTTCCTCAGACTGGGATTATCATGGTCTAGGGAAGGCATTGAGAGGAGGTGAGTAGAAGTAGCTGCAGGTTGAATGCCTGTACTTCCCCCTTTCCCAGAAAGATTTCTAGCAATGAATGCCTGTTCATATCCCAAGATTTCAAATGTTGTTTTGATCTAAATTTTGTCTTTTCCCCGTGAAGTGAAATGTTAATTTTTTAAAAAAAAAAGTTTTATGTGGTTTGTCTTGAAAAATTCAAAATGATTCATTTTTATATTTTAAATATTTTAAATATAAAACACATTACAAAATGATTAGCCATTTTGAAATGATAAATCCAGATTTTCTATTCTAAAAATGTCTCTGTAACATTTTCAACTTACTACCTTTAAATG